CAGAGCAATTGTTCTCTCAGACACTAAACGAAAGCAGTTAAAAGAAAAACTGTATCAGTGTTTACTATTAGTTTAGCAAGAACTAATTTAAGAATTCTGAACACTTGTGGTTAGCATTGCTACATAATAAATACGAAAATACATGCGTGCCCTAGAGGCCTTGACACCTATCTCCTGAGTAGTGAAGTCAATACACAGGAAGATGAAAAAAGCAGCACTGTTGAAAAATGCAGACATGAGGTGCCATGAATTCGGGGAGAGAAGTAACACTTGCATAAAGCACATACCCAGAACTGACACTCATGTAAAGTGGCACATATGACCCAAGACTATTCCATAATTGTCAAAAGTTTCCTTAAGGGTCTGGACCTGAACAGGCAGTGAGCCCCAAAAGTTGTTGCTTCTTTGCCAGAGTGACTCTGGAATCACAAGGCAACTGCTCACAGAGATACAGACACTAAACAGAATTACACTTCATAATCCCCATGCTGTTCTTCTCTCTCTGGATATATTGATAAAGACAATATGGGTTCGTTTATTATTATTATCTTCTTACTCTTCCACTACCCCTGCTCTTAGTACCTAGGCAGATTTGTCAGGAATAATGAGATGAAACCTATTTTCAATGACAAAACACTACATCTTACTTCGCTCTAACCTGCTTTACTGTTTATCCCTTCTAATAGCCAATAGAGACACAACAGTCTCCTGAGTTTCTAAATAGCATTTTGTTTCAAGTGAAGACCCCAGCTGAGACATTTCTATCATATGATCAAGAACTGAAGTTCAAGGTAAAGCTCTGAATATAATTTACTATGGCAGGGGAAAGTTAAGAATGTAACCTGGAAACTCTTTGCTCATATACCATTGCAAGAGCCTCAGAATGCAACTGAAGTAAATTAAGTTTTCTACCAGTCCCTGCTTGCTGCATTACATATGGCTCAGGTAATAAAATATCCAGAATGATGAACACAAGGTTCACAGATAGCACGTAGCAGTAATGCCAGATGTAGCATCAGAGTTTGGTTGCAAGGAGAAAGAACCACACTGAAGGAAATATTTCCTCTGTAAGACCACTAACATGATAATTACTTCAGAGGATCACAGCACAGATGGGAGGACTACAGCAGGAAGTACAATACGTACTCACGGATGTGGTTTATTTGTAAAAGAAATATAAAAATGCTTCACTATATTTACACTCATAGGCTTGCCAAATCAACCAAACCTCCCTCCTCAAGCATGGTTCATATATTTGGTTCCCCTAACTTCTCCTTAATCATGGTATCATACACTGCATCTGCATTGGAGCATCACAGTCTCTTTTCTGCTAAAGAACTTCACGTGTAAAACTGAGTCACCACGATGTCACATCTGGTGTGGGTATTCAAAGAGGTGACACCACTGTCCTGATCCTGCACAGCAACCAGGAGCTTGTCATGCACTGATGGCCTTGCGCACAAAGACAATCTGCTAGCAATACATCACCCAGCTGCAGCCTGGTGGTACCAGCCCTTCCACACCAAGTTGCTCCAGATGCCTGGGCAGTGTTATCCACTGTTACACCCTGAAATGCCTCCACACTGCCACAGGACACTGCAGATCCCTCCTTCTTCTCTTGGGACAAATGCAGTTTCAAATAATTTCAGAGGTCTGTCTACATCATTTACTGAAGCCCATCCTAACACACCCTTCCCAATAACTGCCCTACTGTCATTAGAAAAGTTTAAGGCATGAAAAATGAAGTCCTGTCTGAATACATGTAAGTATGAAAAGTTAGGTCCTCAGCATCTAGCAGAAATCTGTAGCTTAAAAAAGAGAAATGGGGGGTGGGGGAAGCATGTTCAAAAAGATTCCTACTGTTCTAAGCATTTCTAAAAGCTGTGGGCAAATATTTTTCTTTCTCACATTCCTTTCAAACACACTGAACCAAGATGTTAGAGCAGTTTGAGATGTCAATTTACAAACTTACTGCTGCTTTGCACACAAAGCAGTATTTTGGAACAAATACATGCATAAATCCAGATGCATAATTAACAGACTGCAGTTGGTACTAATTGCTACTCCCCTGAGACTTTGCACTGCAAGCACTCAGAACCATCAACTATTGTTACTCGATCACAAGCTACAGTGGTTTCAATTTGAGTTTTCATCACAAGAAAACACCAAACTTCTAGTAAAGTATTCCAGAAAATCTTGAAAATATGCTTGAGACATCTGGGAAATTTTAAAGTTCAGAATACAGTTAGCAAGAAATCAAGGTAAATGTTTTTTAAATGGTCATAGCTGTTTTGAGGGGGCATAAACCCTGATTTTTCAATACTGTGGGCTTGTACAACCGACTGCTGTTTTGTCTGACTGCCACGACTGTGATTCCAACCATTTTTATGGCTGTGCCAACAGAACTTGTGTCATTGCTTCAAAGTAGGTCAGTAACTGCGCTTCCGATTTTACAGATAAGGAAGCCAGAGCAGGGAATGACAATGACTTTGCAAAGACAAAAAAAAGAGTCAGGAAAATAAAAGGGCAAATTCAGAACCTGAATCTACTATCATTCAGAACCTTTCACTACTAAATCTAATTCCCTCTCAAAATGAAAAAGGTGGGTAGCATTTCCTAGGGTTTTGCTAGTGATGCCCTGACAATGTGTCTCCTAACAACACATCTGCAAAAGTTGATTTTCTCTCAAGTTTTTCTAGGCAGCAGAGAAATATTACACGTAGATTTGTAATAACAGTCCATTGTGTTTAGTGGCACTTCAGCATTACACTTCTACTGCAACTGCAATCATAAAGTTTTGTAATAAGGCATGTGCTTCTCAAAAACTGAGGGTGAATTCAGTCAGAAAGCATGTCTTCCTTTGAAATATCCACAAACTGCTCCTTAAAAGGACATATTGATATTTGCAAAGCTTGGTAAATTAGTCAGAAATCAATGCTAGCCTATAAAACAATAACATTCTCTGGGAAATTAACCACTGTATATGGCTGAATTAATTAACTAAGTTTTTATTTAAATAACTGAATTTTGCTCCAATATTAATGTATTCTTTTTGGTCTCATGGAAAAAAAGTCAAGACTTTTAAAAGTATGTAGAAACAAAAGCCAAACACAAGAAGATTCAGACACTCTAGTTGTCCTTTCTTGCTACTGCAATGTTGGCTTTTTGCCACTACTGGATTCCAAGAACACAAATCCAACCTGAAGTTGCAACAAACAGTGATTACCAAAGAATTAAATGGCAGAGGCAGCAACACTAAGAGCACTAATTGTCCCTGCTACTGGCCAGTAAACACAAATTTTACTCAAGTCAGTGGTAGAGTGCCCTCCTCCACATGCTTATACAAAGCTTGACTTTAAATAACTGTAATGCATCTCCCATTTCAAAACAGTATCAAATATCTAATGAAGCAATTCAAAGAATACATCCAATATTCAAAAGTGACAGAGTATTTTGATCAAACTAAGCAGGAAGTGTGCAGGAATAAAGTAGCCAAAAAGTGCTAGGAAGAGAAATAAGATTCAGTAGTAGTGCAAAGTACAAGTGAAAAAAATATGCTGAGACAGTGAGAAGAAAGAGGAAATGTCATAACTGTGGAGCAACAGAAATGGAGAAGGCTAAAAAATGAGATGGAAAGGAAGCAGACAAAACATCTTTTCATTAATCACAGGCCAGAATAACTGCTTCCAAAAATGTCATCTTAAAATATCATCAACCAGAAAAAGGGACACTAAGTCCACAAGCTGGACACTTACAAATGAAGCCGTATTTATCCTCTGATTTCCTTCTTTCACCTATTCAAATTCTACCTGCTCAGACTTCTGCCATGCAACATGCCCACACTCCTGTTACTCTCAAAGCTCAGCCACTCTATCCAAATGCCCATCCCTGACTTTCAGTGCTGATTTTGCACTACCTCTCCAAGCCCCTGGTTATGTGCTATATTGTTTTCTAAGTATCTGAGCTGAGCTTGAAGTCTCTGATTGCTCTGGATTTGAACGGGACCAAGGACATGAAGACTCTGAAGCTCTCCAAAGCTGGATCTTCCACGTGTAGGTTGCTACATCCTGGGCAGACAGCTTTCTTTCAAGTCATGCTATCAGCCACCCAAAAGAGCAATTGTAGCAAAGGGACATACACCTGAAATAGTTTTATGGGTGAACTGATTTGTGCTAGCATAAAAATCAGGCACTGAGGTCTTCCAGTAAATTAAAAATGCCCCTGTTCTCCTCATCTGTGTCATCTGATTTACTGGTTTAAGAATAGAAAGGCTGCTGTTTCTAAGGAATTCAGGTATCTAACCTACATATATACTGGCAAAACTTCCATGAGATACTGTGCATGCCTTTTAAAGACCTAGACACAGTATTTTGAAATATCCGGTTTTATGCACACGGGAATCCTAGCTTCACTAAAAATCACTCAGATTTATAATTTTCCAAAGCACTGAATTTGATTTACCTCAAAAATTTTACTTTCAAAGGGATTTAGTCATCTAGGTCATATAAGTGCTTAGAAAGTGTTATTTTTCTCTGCTTCTGCTCCCACATTTTTCATACTGGCTACCTGAGGTACTCAGCTTCAGGACAGCCCACAGTGGACATTCTCTCTGTAATCGATGGACCCGGACAGTTCCTTCCAAACGAGTTACAGCACCTAAGTTAGATGTCTAAAGTCAGGATGAGTACCTGTCTGTATATTGTGTCTATGTTTAGGCAAGCAATTTTGTCAAGGCTGGGCTTCCAATGTGCCACGAGGTAAGGGCATACCACAACTTTTTCTCTTCTTAACTGTCTGGAGGCAGACAAAGAAGCTAAGATGTTTTCCATGTATATGACTTCTGAACATCAAGGCTGAGATACCAGAAGGAAAACACCCACAACTCCTCTTAAACCACAAGAGATGCAGGTATGTGGCAACTTTCATGTAAATAAGAGCACCATAATAGCAATTTATCTACTATTGCACTTTGAACAAAAGAAACACAAATGGAAAATTACCTGAGCACCATAGACTCGTTGCATTGCCTGAAGTAACTGGTTTGTATAATCAGTAAGTGTTCCTGCATCTTCTTCAAATACACTGAGCAAAGACCGAGTCTGTGATAAAAGGAAAAAAGCAAGCTGTTTTAGTCCCAAGTGAAAATATTTAAGAGTAGGTTACTGTAAAGGAATGGTAGCAAAAAAAACCAAATCAATCAGAAATAATAAAGCTTTAAAATTTGCATTATTTTTTTGTTTAGGTTATCAAAACATGTTGAAATTATTCCTTCTATTATGGATAGGTAAACTGAGGCATAAGAAAGCAAAGTGATAAAATGCTGTGGCCAAATCCTGACTCCCAGCCTCTTGCTCTAAGAAATAGGGATTCCTTCTAACGTAATCAGGAATGTAAAAAATCCTGAATATCTGCCTGCTGACTACAGTAATTCAAACCACGTTAAAGACTCTGGGTCAACACCACTGCTTGCTCACTTTACTTCTCTAATTAAAAGCACCCCTTTCCATGAGATAATTTACAGAGTATTATTCACTCTCAGCTCTCTTGAGCAACTCTTAAAGGGCCACTGCCAAAGCTAGCTGATGTAATCGGACCAAACAATTGACTGTTCATCTACAACAACAGGCACAGAAGTATACATACAACCACTCAGAAATTCTCCACACTTTCTCCATTCTGCTAGCTCATCCTTGTCAACAAAAGGTGGGGAAAAGAGAATGGCTTGTGTTATCTTGTATTCCCTAGGTTCGTTTTGGTGGGATCATCAGGAAGAAAGAATTAAATTGCTGACACACTGCCTGAGATGGGAAACAAAGACATCTCAGAATAATGCTGAGCTCCAGAATCTGCCAGATCAAGACAATAATGAAAGAGGGAACACTGTCCCTTTAACAAAGTTGTGATCCATCCTTAGTCTTAACTTCGGTAAGTCAAAACTATTTGATGCTAACTGGCATTATCTTTCCAGCTGTACAGCTAATTTACACGTGAATTAGTTTCATCTGCCTATGTGAGGGGCATGCATAAACTCCAGTACTTTAATAATCACATCAGTCCTGTAATGGAGCAAGTGCTTTATTTGTCCTAGTACAGGAATCTCTAATGTACCTGAAGTATCCTGGTTTAAATATGAGAATTTTTTTTCAGAGTCTTTAGAGAGTTCTAAGTTGCTGCATCATTGTAACAGAAGGCACATGTACTTCCCCAGGGCATTTATTCTTCTCTGTAAAACTCTCTGCCCACACTTTATTTTGTCCAGAAAAAATTCAGGATCATCTTCCTTCAAGAACCCTGGACTAAGGATGAACTACCATCTCCTCTCTACAAGTAGCACCTAAGACAGAAATTAGCATTGCTCAGCAGTTAAGTATATGACTTAGGAGTAAGTCCTTGGGTTCTGTTCTACACATTGCAGGGGAGTACTTCCATACCTGGAGTTACTCTAAAGCTCTCAGCATCCCAGTCTGTTAACGTGCTAGGCTGCCACTGTACTTCCTACCTTAGAGACACTGGCAGTCAATTGATTTGGGAAACTAGTTTGAGATCTTAGCATGTGAGGAGATAGGCTGTACAATGCACTGTTTTCAAATAGTAAGAATGTAAAAAACAAAGAATGGAGGGAAGGCAAAGTCAATGAAACAGATACCAAGAATCCAAACTTATAAAGAACCTTTGTACAGAACTTGCCTACAAGGACAGTGGCATGATTTTGAGTTTTCCACACCAAGCTATTATTTCAGTAATTGAAAACATAGTGCTTAAAAAAAAATATCTGTTTTTTAAATGTTTTCTCTTTGATGATACATTAGCACAAGCTAAGCTAAGGCAAACAAACTATGTTCTATCTATACAGTGCTCCTCTGCCTTGTTTTGTGTTACTGTAGAGCACATGAATGCACAAGGTATGAAGATGGTTAAAAAACAAATCTCAGGAAGGTAAAAATAAAAACTTGACACAACATTTATCAGAACAAATCTCAAGCCAAGACCTGAGAATTAAAATGAAATTGCCTGAAGTAGGCTACAAATAACACGTCTCTGCATCCTAGAAGAGGTTTCCAAACACAGGAACGTCAGCCAGATTCCTAAATCTTAATGAATTTTTTGCCAGTTCAGTTTTTCAGATGTCTATGTATGGGCTGACATATAACAAATAATTTCGGAAATAATTTATGGGAAATAATTTCTGAAAGTCTTAGATTCAGTTATTAGCACATTGTTCAAAAATAATACAAACAATAAATTATTCAATCAGTTTGGAAGTTATTCTTGGAAAAGTTTATATTTAAGAACACAATTTTAAAATTATTGCAACAAAACACCAGCATGCATTTATCTTTGTTGTTGCTGTTTTGACAAGTTCTGTCATAGCAGCTAATGCTGCTGAAATAAAACAGTAATCCATATTAAGATATTATTTAGGACTCATTAATAGCACCCTTCTCTCAGCTTCTGGAAACACAGGAAAAACATATCTGCTTTCCTGCAAGTATTTCCCTCCGTTTTAGCATGACCACTTGCATTAATTTCTCTTTTATGTTATGGCCAAACACTTAAAAATTAAGACACTTCTTACGGCCATTTTCAGCCAGTGCTTGGAGACAAATCAAGACAAAAGTACTATATTGTAGAGAGAGAAATCAAGTTGCAGAAAACTAAAGAAGAAATAACTTTGGTCCTCTGCACATACTTCATACAGTTCATGGAAAATGAGGTTATGTCCCCATTTTACTATCTCTCTGCATTGCTGTAAGTGACTGCACAGAGAAAAGGATAATCAGGTCACTTTACGCAGATGTAAATGATCACATAAGCTGCCTTTCTGTAAGCTCTGTGGGACAGAGACAGCCTTTTTTTGTTTTGATTTTGTAGTACCCAGCTCCTGTTGTGACGTGAATCTAAAGCTCTCCCCAAGGAAAAGTAAGAAAAATATAAAAGACTAGGAAAAAAACCTGTCTCCTCACATGAAAAAATACATTTAGCAACACTGGGCCATTATAAAAAAAATAAATTATACCCCTCTGTCTCAAAGTTATAGGAGCTGAACAAAGAGTAATGACCAAATCAAGCCAAAAAATCCTTCAAACATGTAGGTTTATGCACAGCCTGGCCCATCCAGTAATTGGAAAGGAGATGTTATCAACACTCATTTCAGGTCAGAAGAAAGATGAAGACGTCCAAATGTAATTCAGTGCATTGTTCAGCTGCTTTCAGTCAGTGTTACATTTTTAATCATTGAAGGAAGTGTTGACTGAAGAGGTAAAATGGGTTCACTTGTCCTGTGTGTCAAGCTCTTCAGCTCCAGAATGCACTGGAAAGGTTAATACTAAAAATGTTAATAACTGCTCATAATAAATCTAGTACATTTTGGTAAACCGTGGAACACAGAACAATTCAGGTTGGCAAGGAGCTCTGCAGGTCACCTTGTCCAAACCAGTGCTCAAAGCAGGGCTGATTACATCAGGTTACTCAACGCATTTCTGGTTTAGTTTTGAAATATCTCCAAGGATGGAGATTCCACATATGTCACATCAAACAGATTATGGAAATCATTCTTGCTAGGATGGGATTTCATGGAACCACAGAATAACAGGATAAGAAGAGGTGATGAAGATGAGCCCCAAGACTTGTTAAGTCCTGACAGGTGCACGTCCAACCTTTCCTTCAAAATGTGTCATGACAGACTGTGTAATCTGCTCCACACCTTACCTATTAATTCCTCCCCCTGATCCATCAGCAGATGAGTTAAGATTACAACACAGGGGAACAGGATCCATGCTCATTCAGTGTGTTCTCCCTTCTTCTTTCCCTGCTTCACCAGTTACTTTTGTATCTCTTTCCGCACAACACTTTGCCCCAAAGTGCCCCTTTCCCACCACTCCTGGAAATGTCCACTCTTTCACCCTTGGCCTTACTTCTCTCTTCCACCCAAACTTCCCTCCTTCTTCCCCAGCTCCCAAGGCCTCACACCCTACTCCCACCTGAAAACATCACAACCTGGCATGTTCTTCGCCATGGGGTTTTTATGGTCCTTAGGGGTCACTTCTGCAGCTGTGCCACATCATGAATCCCAGCACCTGGGTACAGGGTGGAGCACAGGAGCAAAGGGCTGCAGTGTTTGGGAAGGAAAGGGCAGCAAACACCAGTCCCCGTCTCTCAGACTCCTTCAGAAGGAGATCACCTTCAGTGGGATGCACCTCACCTCATCTGTCCTCAAAGGAAGACCCAGTACCTCAGCCAGCACCTTCCAGCGGGGAGGAGCAGGCACGCGTGGCACTGACATTCCTTCAGCCCACCCTGGTCACTGGGACCAGGTGATTCACAGCGTGTAAGTGCCCCTTTCCCCCAGGGGCCTCACAGGAAGCCACGCCACAGCCACCCATCCTTCCCCAACACACCTCACCTTTTCAGGACGTCCCTGAGAGCCAGCGAGTGCACTCCCAGCTGGGACAACGTGAGGAGAAAGCCAGAGCAGTTTCTCTGAGGGACCCGAGAGGCACGGGCGCTTCTGCCCGGGCCTCCTCACACCCTGCCAAGCAGCAGGATCCCCAGAGCCCCCCAGGAGCACGCACGGCCCGTTCTCCCTTGACAGACGCCCCGCAGAAGGACAAAACCCTCCCCCGACGGCCCAGACCAGCCCCTTACCTGCTTCACGGCATCCCCGGGGTCACCCTGACCCACTTCTCCGGCTCCCGGCCCGCTGCCCTGCCCCGACACCCCTCTCCCCGCCGCGGGA